AAAACAAAACAAAACAAAACCCAACTCTGTTTATTTTTGGTGCAGACACAATTTCTTGCAGAGACTGAGACATGGGGGACAGCTGTACTGGTGAGAATGTGTAGGATCAGCTACTCCAGAGTCCTGGCTGTGAGAACAGAAATTGGAATAAACGTAGTAAAAAAAAAAAAAAAAAAAAGACTGCCTTGTGAATCACAGTCTTGAAGAGATGAGCACCCTGTGTTTTAGAATTATGCCGGGAGGTCTGGTTTTTGCTTTCGGGAAATAATCACAAATGTACCAATATTTTATGCAAAGAATATTAATGAAGCTCTATTTCTGTAGCCCCAATGTCCCTGGCTCGCACCTGCCCAGGCTACCATGGACACTTTCACATTGATGTATAAAGAAAGGTTGCGGCTCAAGCCCGGCCCATCTACAGAGCTTTCTGCCTCACACAGATGTCTCTAGGGGATTTCAGGAAGATAAACCTCAAATCCCCTTCTCTGCTCCGCTTGTTGGTTCCTGGACCCACAGCCACACAACAGGAGATAGATTGGCACTTGTGCAGTTTCTGCAGACCCTTCCCACTCTCCAGCCCACCCTCTGCCCTGGAAGCCAGTTCCTGTCTGTCCCCCAGGTGGACTCAGTCAGCGTGTGTCAATCTGTTGGAAAGGGACCTGGGTGGGAGGTCAACTGGTCATCTCCCAGCACCCACCCGAGATCTCCAGGCTGGGCATCCTGCAGGGTTCAACCACCTCTTAAGGACATCCCCTCTTAAGGACAGACCCTCAGACCCTGGCCCAGCATTGCTGCTAAACCAGCTTTGAGAATGAACAAAGCCGTGATTCCTACTGTGTAAAGATGTAGATAAATGTCCCCAGCACTGCGAGGAGTCCCAGCTCCCTAGCTGGCTTGCAAAGGCTATCACAAAGCTGCTGTAAGCCAGCCCTGCACTCCAGAGCACCCTGCGGCAGTAGCCTGAAGTGACGATGAGGACCCCTGACCATGGGGCCATGGCCAGAGCCTGGCCGGAGTGGAGAGAGCCACTTGGCTCCCTCCTGAGTCTCAAAGGGGCATTGCTGATGTGGAGGAAGCTTCTAGCTAGCGAAAGCAGTGGTGTCCCTCTTCCTCCCTCCACCCCCTCATTCTCTAAGGCTCACACTGGACTGCACCAGGGCGAGGAAATTGTCAACTGCCATGCTTTGGGTGTGTCCCCAAAGTTTCATGTGCTAGAAGCTTAGTTCCCAGCATGGTGTGGTTGAGAGGTGTTGGGTCCTTTAAGAGGCGGGGCCTAGTGGGAGGTAATGAGAGCACTGGGAGGAGTCACCATCAGAAAAACACTTAACATCTACCCTCTCCCTCTTGGGCACACTCCCACCATGATGCCATCTACTATGCTGTGAAGCAGCCAGGGACCTCATTAGAGACCCAACCGATGGGGCCACCTCCTGCACTTTCAGCCTTCAAAACTGTGGGCTAAAGAAACTTCTTTTCTTTCTAAGTACCCAGCCTTAGATATTTTGTTACAGCAACAGAAAATGGACAGACACCAACTTCCTGCCATTTCCCCCTCTTGAGCTTTACTTTCCCTCAGGTCTGACCCCCAAGGCCATTGCAGATCCAGTCTTTCTTGTACCTATCAAATCATGAGAAATGGTGGGGTGTTTTGGGGGGCAGGAGGGCACAAGCCTGCCAAGTTCTCCCGAGCACAAGCGAACAGGCCAGCACGGTTCCTTGATATCCAACACCACGGCTAACACCACGGCTCACACCACGGCTCTGATGAGATCTACGATGGTAACTATGTTGCAGGAAGCACAGCTGCCTCAGGACAATATTTCATGGAATGGGGAAGTGACTACAACATTTTGTGACACGAGAAGCCACAGGTCCCCCTGCCTCCCCCATCAAATCACCACAACCACAAAATCCCAAGAGTCTCAGGTTGTTTCTCCAGGTGCTACCACTGGTCTCAGAGGGCACCCTGTCCTGGAAGTGACTGGAGAGAAGGTGCTGGGGGCCACGCAGGGCTGGCCAGGAAGGAGCAGGCTAGATCAGAGTGGTGACAGGGCCCAGGAGCCAGGAGAGCTACCAAGAGCCAGGAGGAAGGGAAGGGGCTGGGCGCTGGCTAGGGCAGGGTCCCAGCTGCCCACAGGGTCACCACCAACGCAGGCTCCACCCCAGGTTACAGAGCAGGACAGGTGGAGGGAAGAAGTGGGAGGAGCGGCAGGGAGAAGGGAGTGGGGTCCCTGCTCACGGCAGGGGAGGCTGGCAGCTCCTCTGCCATCTTCTGTCCGGCCATTAATCCTAGCTTTGAGTCTACCCCTGCTCTCGCTCCCTCCGGCCCCTGGGCTCTGCCAAAACCCCTCCCTTGTTCTTTCCTCTGCCCTTATTCAGGGGACATGTCCCAAGGCCACAGCGCATAGGACCTCAGACAGCAGCAGACCCCAGGAGGACTATGGCTCTTCCTCCTCCTCCTCCTCCTCCTTTCGAGAAGATACAGTGTGTGAGTGAGGTCCAGGGAGAGAACAGAACTGCTAACAAACAGAGCAGTGACAATGACAAGCTGCATCAAAGTCATTTAAAACTTAGGGATGGCTTATTTCTGGAATTTTCTATTTAATTTTTTCCGACTGCCTTTGACGGCCAGCGACGGAGTCCACGGAAAGGAAAGCTGCAGACCAGGCCCCTGGCCCCCTCTCCCTTAGAACCACCGTTTTGTCTGATTTGCATTTTTGCAGTCAAAAGTCCAACCTGCGGTCCCCACAAGGCAGGCCCCTCGGTGCCGCGGTGTGCTCCCAGCCTGTGCACAGTAGGTGCGGAAGCATCTGTGAACACTGTCTCCAGGACAGGTGACGAGCCCCCATCCTCCCCATGGCGCTCAGCGGGCGACACACAGGCAGCAGGCTGGGGACGGGTCTCCAGGTGGACGTAGGGGACTTGTCATCCCATAAGTCTGGATATTGGGCAAAAGGGCTTCAATAGATAAGTGGATGCACGACCCGAGAAGGCCACCGGTGACGCGAGGGGCGGTGAAACAGCGCGACAGACACAGGAAGAAACTCTGGTTCTCTTAGCCTGCTCCCCAGGGAGTCACAGGGATAGGGGTGGAGGCCGTGGTCCCAACGCAGGCCTGCGTCCAGGGAATGACCCCTGCAGATCACTCCGCCCTCTTCGGGGCGCGGTGGGGGCAGCGGGCATCCGCGCAGCCGCAGCCCCTGTATCCGCGGGGACAGGTGCCCAGACCTTCCCCACCAGCTCAGGCTGCAGAGGGCACCAAGCCCTGCCTGTACGGGCTTCTTCCTCTAAGTGCACAGCTGTGATAAAGCCCAGCTACTAACTAGGACAGTAAGCAGGCAGCGACAGTGAGTTACCGCAAAATAGATAACTCTAAGGACAGAGGGCAATGGAAGCAATTCAAAACTTAGGAACAGGTTGTTTCTGGAACTTTCTGTTTAGTATTCTCAGACTGAGACTGAACGTGGGTAACTGACACCTCAGAAAGAACCCTCAGATAAGGGGTGGGGACTGTGTATGTGAACACGTGTGTATATATACACGTGTGTGTGTGTGGCCTGTGCCCAGGCACATTGCAGATGGCCTGTCATCAAGAACCCCTCCCACATTTCTGCCCTTCTGCCCCATCGTGCAGGGATATGTCACGGGGCACAAGTCCCCTCCACACTCCATATAGTGAGCTCAGGCTTTTTAATGCGGCTGTTTCTGACGCCAGCTGCCCGCCACCAGGATGGTCCCCCTTTTAAATCACCTCAACGTGTGTCAGTTACGAGGGCTGCATGATAAATGTCCCCCAACGCACCCCAATGTGTAAACATCCCTTTTCTGCTCATGGATTTTGTGGATTGGGAGTTCATTCAGCCCTGCCAGGGTGGCTTGTCCCTGCTCTGTGATGTCTGAGACTCCGGCTGGGACACTGGGAGGCAGGGGCTGGAGTCCTCTGCTGGCTTCTTCTCTCCCAGGTCTGGGTGAGCTGCCAATTGTTGGTGGAGACCCGAGCCGGGCCGTGCCTGGAGCCCGTGCCCTGTTCCTACAACACAGTCAGCAGTGCTCAGGTGACCCGGGACTTCAGGTGGCCAGTGACTGTCTGTGCAGTGGCCCCTGGGCCAGCGGAGATGCTGGGGCTTTGCAGGCTGGGAAGGCCAGCTTGAACCAGGCCCACCGTAGAACAGTAGGGCTCGGCCAGTTACCTGAAGCTCTTCCAACTGCTCACGGGGCCCGGGGAGCACAGAGACTCCAGTGCAACACCGGGTACTTAGGGGAGCCCAGCACGGGGTTTGCTTTTGTGGCTGATTTTCAATCCTTTCAGCATCTCCCTCGCAGATGGGGAGTCAGGGCTGGGGTTGGCTTGTTTACTGATGGGGATGAGTCTCTGCCCGTGAGCCCCAGCCCTATTTTGGCAGTGTGTGGAAGGTCCCTGGGTCGCCAGGGACCCTGCTGGCTGGAGGCGGCTGTAGCACTCAGGGTGTCCTGGCTTCAGCTCTGCTGGCCCTTGAAGTCGGGTTCTCCTCCCTTCCCCTAAGTCCCCACTATCTCCACCCTGAGCAAAGCAAGTCTCCAACACCCCAGTAGCACAGGGGGGGAAACAGGCCCAGGGAGGCCCACGAGGTGCCCCAGGCAGCAGGGCCTCGCTCCCCTGGGTAGAGGCTGAGCCCAGCCCCACCGGCTCCCTCTCCTCCCCCTGGGGCTCCCTCTCCTCCCCCTGCGCCACAAAAGGAAACTCGCTTCCCGTTCCCTGCTCCTCTGCCAGCCTGAGAGACGGGAGAAGAAACATTTCCAAATAGACCAGGGTGGTCTTTTCGGGGTTCTGGGTTTTGCTGTTTGTCCTTTGACATCTGTTTCCCATGAGATGCTGGGAAATGCAGGTGCTGGCCCAGGATGCCTGCTGTCTCAGGGCCGGTACCTGCTCTCCCGAGGCTGTCCTGCGGCCAGCGCTCAGAGCTGACCATGTTTGGGCATGCAGGCTCGACCCAGATGGGCCCAAAGGCTGCATCCCTGGAGACGGCTGGAGGCAAGATTCCCGCGGAGCTCCAGGAGGCGGCCTTTGGGGTGGGGGCGGGGGCTGGGCAGACGGAAACCATCTGCCTGCGAGGACCCAGGGGCACTGGGCAAGCTGTGAGTACTGTGTCCCCGAGAGTGCTGGGGGACAGGGGCAGGAAGGAGCCCGAGATGGGCCCGGAGGGCGGGAGTGGGCTCCCTTCCTCTTGGGACAGCCTTGAGGACTCTGGTGTCAGGGGGGCTGGCTGGTGCTGATGGGCACCTGGGGGTGGCTCTTGGTGGGGTCCACTCTAGGTGCTGAGTGCCCTGTCCTCAGGCCCAGCTCGCAACAGCCTGACTCGGAACAGTCCTCCTGCCCCTTGCCCCAGTGGAGGAAGGGGACAGAGGAGAGGCTGGGGAGAGTGCGCCCCACTCTGCCCCACTCCACAGTCCTCTGTCCATCACCACAGCCAGCGTGGACTGGGCTCTCCACATCACTCGACCTCCACCAGACTCCTCTGGTACCCTTCTTGTCCACTGTCACCTGGGTGCTAAGGGCCAAGGCCAGGATGTGATGGTGCATCTGAGTGTCTCAGAACCCCCCTTCCCGACACTCCACCAAACCCTGAAATGCTGTACTCTACTCCTGTCCTTCTAAGGAAGAGGATGTGGACCCGGCTCTCAGATCACATGGGACCCACACGCCTGCCTTTGCCCTCCTTCATCTTTCCTAAATCCAGCTCGGACCTCGTGTGACCTTTCTGAATAGGAAGAGCTAGCCAAAAAAGCCAAAGTTATTTGTCAACTCTCAAGCCTGAGAAGTTCTTCTTGGAGTCTAACTAAATCCCTCCTGCGGTTAATGAAACCCATCTCTTCCCGAGCAGGCCTTAGGGGAACTGACTATTCAGTTGGGTGTTGAATCCCAATTCCCACCTGAGACTCCTATCTAAATAGAACCCCCAGAACCAACCTGAGTGGGTTTATCCAATTCTGCAGGAATCCCAGCAGAGCAGGAGCACAGGGCCAGTCTCTCCTTCCCTTCCCTCCTGAGCCCCTGGAACAGGGAAGTCCAGGACTCCAGCCTCCTCCAGCCTTAGAGGCTCCAGCATCTGGGGTGCAGAGGACGGGAGGGAGCGAAAGGTGGGGGCTGCCTGTGGAAGGAGCCTCACAGCAAGGGAGGTCCCTAGCCCTGCTCCAGCTTCCCCTGGGACAAGGGTTTTGCTTGGGGACTCACTGAAGTTTCCAAGGTTGACCCTGAGAGTCATCTGTGTCCCCCAGGCCCTGGGGCGGGGCCAGGTGCCATGACCCGAAGTCCCTGGGCAGCAGGCTGCGGGGCTCCTGCCCCAGGGGCTGCCGCTGCCTCACCTGGGCACACCTGGGTGGGCTGGTTACCTTAAGTAAACAAAAAGTAGCCACAAAGACGTGTCCCGGGAAGGCCCCACAGCTCTTCGAACCCAGGGCAGGACCACAGGAGGGTCCCCAGCCCGGCAGCTCCGTGGGGCAGGGACTGAGGGGGTCCCCTGGAGAAGGTTGGCCAGGACTCCCGCCGCTGGGAGGGCCTCGGGGCTGCAGCCAGAGAGGGGCGGCCACTTCCCTCCATCCTGCCGTGGCCCCGGGGCTTCAGTCCTGAACTAAGAAAGCTGTCCCCAGGACCCCAGGATACCAGGATGCCATCTCCCTTGGCTTAAAGGGGCAGCTGCTTGCCAGGGATGAATGTGGGACTCCTTCTGCCCCCAGGGGAGCCTGCTGGGCGCTCCTGCCCAGCCCGCCCCGGACACTGCTGAATCAAATGACCATTCACTTGGTGGCCTAAAGCAGCAGAGACCTCTCTGGAGCCAGGAGTGCAGGTCACCAAGGTGGCCAGGGGCAGTGCCCTGCAGAGGTCAGGGGACGGCCTGTTGTTTCTGCCCCTTGCCTTCTGGGGGCTGCTCATTACCTTCCTGTGCTTCCGTCTCACAAGGACCCTTGTGACTGCATCGAGGGTCCACATGCATCATACAAGACCCTCTCCCCATCTCAAGGCCCTTCACTGTCATTTCTGGGGTGCAGAGGACGGGGAGGGACCAGGAGGTGGGGGCTGCTTGTGGTAGGAGCCTCACAGCAAGGGAGGTCCCCAGCCCTGCTCCAGCTTCCCCTGGGACAAGGGTTTTGCTTGGGGACTCACTAAGGTTCCCAAGGTTAACCCTGAGAGTCAGCCGGGGATCAGAACCCAGACATCCTGGGAGCCACTATGGAGCCTCCACATGTTGTGATCTTGGGCAAATTGCTTTCCCTCTCTGGGCTACAGGGCCTTCCCTTGCAGGATGAGATGGTGACACTCAACCTCTCAGAGCTGGCGGGGAGCCTCCAGAGGGTGGAAAGGAATGAGGTTGATATTTGGTGGCCTCCCCCTCGCCGCCCTCCCTTCTGTGGGTCACCTGCCGCCTGAGCCCATCTGACTTCTGTTTCTTCTGTGGCCCTAGAAATGACAGCTGGCCCCAGTGGACATGGTGAAGAAGCTGGTGATGGCTCAGAAGCGGGGAGAGACCCGAGCCCTGTGCCTGGGCGTGGCCATGGTGTTGTGCGCGGTGATCACCTACTACATCCTCTGCACCACCATGCTGCCCCTCTACCAGAGGAGGTGAGCGTGCTGCGGGTGGGCTGTGGGCAGGTGGGTTGTGGGGGCCCAGGGATCTTCCAGGGCTTCTCCCCCCCTCTGGCCACCTCACAGCCCGCGGGCTGCTCAGGGCCATGTCACTCTTAGCGGGAGGGCAGGCTGGCCCCTGCTCTGGGATCCCACGGGAGCAGGCTCCAGGGGCTCTTCTCTCAGAATCAGCCAAGGATGTGAGCAAACCCTGCAGGGGGTGACCCGGAGCCCCTTCACCTGGGTCAGGCGGGCTCCCGAAGCCCCCACCCTCCCTCCACCCTCAACCCCACGCCGGGCCTTTCTGACCAGCAGAAGCCGCACTGGGCCCGCATCTGCTCCCCTGGACCCTTGCAGGCCTTGTGGAGAGCGTCCCATGCACCTCTGACAGGCCACCTGACCCTCCGGCAAGAGCTGGGAGACCCCTGCTGTGGGCTGTTTGTAGTGGACACACTCAGCTCTCTCACTTGGGCCTTGGATAAGCCCCAGACCCTTCCTGGGCACATTTCTGTCCCTGACAGCCTGATCCCACACCTAGCCTGGCAGCAGGTCTCCTGCAGGACAAACGGGCTGAGTCCTCAGGGACTCACGGGTGTGTGGATGAGCCTGTCGGCCCCTCCCGGCCCGCACAGTCCTCGCCTTCAACAAATGGAGCCGTGCCAGGCTGGGGTCTTCCGAATAAGGCGCTGCTCAGCGCAGCTGTGTCTCCAGTGTGTCGTCTCCCTGTTAAACTCCATCACCCCATCAAACGCAGCCCCAAACATCTGCCCTCTTCAGGGGAAAGATGACAGATTCTGGAGGCACTTGGATCTGACCTCAAGTCCTGTGTGGCCTCAGGAAATTCACTTGACCTCTCTGAGCTCCTCAGACCTCTGTAAGACCATGAGGCTCTGAATAAGCCATTCTCAGGCCTGGCTGCTGCTCAGAACCACTGGGGAAGTTTTAAAAATACACCAACCTGTGTCCAACCACTGTAGAAATTCCAACTCGATTATTCTGGGGTGTGGCTTGGATGTGGGAATCTTTTTTTGGAGGGGTACCAGGGGTTGAACTCGGGGAAACTCGACCATTGAGCCCCACCCCCAGCCCTATTGTGTATTTTATTAGACAGGGTCTCACTGAGTGGCTTAGCGCCTCACTGTTGCTGAGGCTGCTTTGAACTGGCAATCCTCCTGCCTCAGCCTCCCGAGCTGTGGGATCACAGTGGGCCTGGCAGACGTGGGAATCTGTTTGAAACTCCCCAGGTGTGAGGAGAACTAGGACCCCGGTCGGTTCTGCTCTTCTGGGGCCAGTTCCTCCCTGTGCCCAGCTCCTGCCTTCAGTGCTGTGTGCCATGGGGAGAAGAGGGGCCCAGCCCCAGGTCTCCTAAAGGCTCCCGGGGGACCAGGGGTCCAGCGGAGTGCTCTCTGTGTCCCCCTGTTCTGAGATGTGTGTGTGTGGTGTCCTCAGCGTGTGGACCCAGGAGTCTACCTGCCACCTGATTGAGACCGACATCAGGCACCAGGAGGAGCTGGAGGGCAGGAAGGTGTCCCCGTACCCGTGCCTGTGGGTCAACGTCTCGGCCGTGGGCAAGTGGGCCGTGCTGTACCACACGGAGGACACTCGGAGCCAGAACCAGCAGGTACGGGGCTGGGGATGGGCACACGTCCCCTGGTCCCGGGTACGCATGGCAGCCTGGCCCTCACTCTGTCCCCAGGGCTCAGGGAGCTCTGCCCAGTGTCTCCTGGCTGGTGTGCGGGTTTTGGTCCCACCCCGGGTCTGAGTCTGCCCCTGTGAGCCTGTGACAGAGGTGCCCGCTGCCCCTGGGGAGCCAGGAACGGTCAGACACCGGCTGTGCGCCCACTGGCTGGTGGGTGGACGGGGCTCCCAAAGAGGTGACCATGGGGACCGTCACTTCTAACCTACCAGCTGAACCAACGAGAGGTCACGCCTGAGTGTCCTGAGAACCACGCGGGGCACTTAGCAAAGCCAGAGTCCCACATCAGACCCACTGCAGTGGCACCTCTGGGCACAGAGCTCCAGGGGATTCACCAATGGGACCTACTGGAGTCCCCGGTGAGATCCCCGTGGAGCCGAGAGGGTGGAGCCCAGGGCCATGTGGACCCAGGTACTGGCCACAGCAGGACCAGGGCAGGGACGTGGACCCACAGCAGGATGGACACCAGTGGGCTGGAAGAGGCGGGTCACCTGGAAGGGGGAGGCTGTGCGGCTGTGGCTGAGCCTGGGAGTCAGGGAGAGGGTCCAGGTGGCGCCCGGGGGGTTCAGTGGGACCCGGGTGGGCATAAGCTCCTACCTCAGATCTCCTTCAACCCCGGGAAAGAGCTGAGGCCGGGGACAAGCTGGCTCCTCACTGGCCCTCTGGGTCTCGAGTCCCCCATTCTGACCCTGGACATGGCTTCAGTAGGACAGCGGGCCTCAGACTCAGTGCAGGAAAGAAGCATCCACCCTGGGCCCCTTTGCACAGAGGGGAGTGGGAGGCGGTCCTGACGGGCAGCCTGCAGCTGTCCTGCTTCACGTGGGCGAGGCTGACGTTTGCAAAGCACCTCCAGAGTCCCCATGAGCAGGTGGCCCGCCAGAGCAGAGACAGCCAGGGTCCTCCTTGTCTGTCCTCCGCAGTTGGCCAGCTGGGCCGCAGCTGGGCGGGCAGGACGGCTCCTAATAACCGTGATCAGCGTCCCGATGACGACATGAATGCCCTGCTCTGCCTGCGCCAGCGCTTCCCCACGCCCTGGTCCTCCTCGGCTCCCAGGTGGCGTCTGCTGGCCAGTGCCTTGTTCGGCTGGCCCCCTCGGGGCTGGCCTCAGAGTTCTTGGTTGAATTCTTGCCGACATTTTAAGATCACGTCCAACCTGGGTTTTCCACCTTCTCCTGAAATGCCGCAGTTGGCTGCTGCCACCTTCCGGAGGGTGTCCCTGTCCTGAGAGGGCAGTGGGTGGCCCGTGCAGATGCAGCTGGCTCTCTCCCTTCTGCCAGCCCCTACCCTCCCCGACAATTGTCTCTGGCACCAGGCAAGTGCCAGGTGGCGCCTGTCATCCTCTGGGTCTCGCCCGCCTCGCTTGATCAGAGAGCTGCATGAGCCCCGGGGCATCCTAGCTTGTGATTTGTGCCCTGAATCCAAACACAGGGCCCACCTGTCCTTTGACTTATGTCACTCATTGGTTTCCTTTGACAGTGATAGGTGAAGTCCTTAAATAATTTTCTTTGAAAACGATACAGCAGTTTAACCCACTTGGATGATTAAAGTTTGATGGCTCCGAAAAGATGAACGATCTGCCTCAGATTCAACAGCCAATAGAAGAAGAGCCAGGGCTCCGAGTGGGCCCCTGCCTACAGGAGTGCAGCACACATACCAGGCAGCTCCAGGGCCACCAGCCACCCACATAACACTGAACTTGACCTCCAGATTGTGCGGTGTACAGACAGAAGCCCCAGCTCCATCCAGGGTTGGCTCCAAAGCCAGCATTTGTCTTTACTCTGTCGCAGGTCTTCGCTCTCGGGCCCTAAGGCACAAAGATTCACAGCCCGTTGTGTGCTCTTGCTTCCCCGCAGTGCTCCTACATCCCGGACAGCCTGGACAACTACCAGATGGCCCGCGCCGACGTGGAGAAGGTCAGGGCCAATTTCCAGAAGCACCAGGTTTTCTACTGCTTCTCGACGACCCAGGAGAACGAGACGAGCGTCCTGTACCAGCGTCTCTACGGGCCCCAGACCCTCCTCTTCTCCCTCTTCTGGCCCACCTTCCTGCTGACCGGTGGCCTCCTCGTGATTGCCATGGTGAAGCTTAACCGGTCCCTCTCCATCCTGGCAGCCCAGAGGTAGACGGGCCCACGCCACATGGCCACGCAGGCCACAGGGTACGGGGCAGCCCCCAGGCTCACCCCTATGCACACCATCCCTCCTGCCCTCCCTCCCCTCCCCCAGCCCCTCCATCTTCCATGCCGAGGGACCTGGGGGACATTCCTCTGTTAAGCCACCTCTCAAGAATATGCCAAGCCCCCTTGGTGCCCTGGGGACCCGAGGCCAGCCAGCTCTCCATTCCTCAGGGGCCCATACCTGTCTCCTGGCTGTGTCACTGTCAACCAAGGGACAGGATGGTCCTTTCTGTGGCCAAGCTCTCCTGCTTGGCTCAGAGGCCTGCCTGTCTCCCCCCAGGAAGTGCCCAGCAAACCTCGGGGGAAAAAAAGCAGCCCCCAAATACAGAGCGCAGTTAGTAGGTGGCTTCTTGTCTTCTATGAGACAGGCCGTATATGCATTTTTTAATTCCAATACTTAAAAATACTGTTGTGCCTTGATACGCATGTGGGGTCAGCCCCGAGACCCTCCTCAGATGCCAAAGTCTGCGATGCCCAGGTCCCTTGCAGAAAGCCTTGTTGTGTCTAGGAAGCCCCCGTGCACTTCCCCAGGGGCTAGACCATCCCTGATGACTCCCGGTACCTGGGACGCAGCTGTGAACAGCTGGGAGGCTGCAGCGTTTAGGGAATGAGGACAAGAAAACAGTCCATGTGCAGTAGAGACGCAATTTTTTCTCAAAACAGCTTCAATCTGCAGTTGATGGAGTCCACTGGGGCGGAACCTCCACCCGAGGGCGGATTCACACAGAACAACAAAAGGCGACAGGAAATAAAACAAAGGCGACTATCAGCAGTGCGTGGTGCTGGGTCCATCTCCTTCCGGTCCCCCTTTTGGTCTGGGGGGCTTTTCTCAAGTGCGGACAGTACTAAGATCCTATGCTGTTTGGTTTGTTTTTAATCAGAAAAGTACCCGTCGACATTGTTCTGGGAAAGGTTGGAAGATGGCGGGCAGGTGGGTGGGGGGTGGGGGGGTCTGCTAGTCAGACAGGCTCCTGAGGACGGTGATCTGAGAGCCCTGCGGGAAGGAAAGGGCACGGGGTCTCTTGTCCACTTCCCAGGTCAACACTCCTCAGCCCTGAGCCTTAGGCGGGCCACACAGGAGAAGCACGGCTGCTGCCATTCTGCTGGGGTTTGAATATGGCCCCCACACTCCACCTGTTGGAAACTTACTTCGCAAACAGGCTCACCAACGAATTTAACAGTCACTGCAGGGGAGCCTCTGGGAGCTCAATAGAGTTAGATGAGGTCACAGAGGCAGGGTCCCCACCAAGGCTTGGATGGCTTTAGAGCAGAGGAGGACAGATCTGAGTGGCACATTCGCTGGGCCTCACCAGGACCTGCGTCCCCCACTCGACTACACAGCAGCAGACCCCCCAGACGCCTGGCAGGTGTGGGAGCCATGCTCTTGGGATTCCCAGCTCCAGAACTGAAAGAAAGAAATTTTTTTTTCTTTATAAATGACCTGACCTCAGATTATTGGATATAGCCACAGAAAACAGACTAAGACACATTCCAAGAAGCCTGTTGAGAGCAGAGATTTGTAAGGTGTGCTTCCTGACCAGCTGCGGCAGGACCCAGGAGACCCTGAGAAGTGCATGTGCCCAGGCCCCACCCCAGCCCCCAGCCACAAGGCCTAGGGGAGGGCTCAGTGCTCCTCCTGTCAGCAAAGGCTCTGGGGGACCTGATGGCCCACCTCCTGCATCAGGGACCAGCACTAGTCACCAGGTTCTGAGTGGAACGGAAGACAGGTGCTGCAGCCCTTGGGCTTGAGCCCCATGTTTACCTCGGCCAGATTTCCTCTCTCTGATTCCTGATTTTTTCCCCCCATTTACCCTTTCTGGGGAGTTGGGAGGGCTGAATGAAGGGTTGGCACCTGGTAGGTGTCCAGTGATCCCCAATAGTTAACAGCATAAGTCATGATGGCCTGAGACTTCCAGAGAAGGTGTCCAACAATAATATCACCCAGCATTCCTGCCGCTTATTACATCCTGGCACTGAGCTGCTGCAGACCCATCTCCCAGGTGAGGCAGGGCAAGGTCCTGGGACACATGGACTCTGATGAGGACCAACTGGGCTCCCGGACAGCCAACGCTGCTATTCCCTAGCTGGGGAATTTGGGTACAAAAATCAACCTCTGTGTTTCAGCCTCTTCAAAATAGAAATAATAGTTCTTGGTATTAAATGGGTCATTGTGTAAAGTTCTAGAACAGTAACTGATAAGGCTGGGCCTGTGGCT